AATCAGCGCGGCCAGCACGGAAATAAAAACACCTAAGGTGGTGGTGGTAAATCTATGACTGAGGTAGTGTTTGCTCAGGTTTCGCATGTGAGGCTCTAGGGATAATCGCTTCCTATGTGCGTCAGCCTGCTGCCGCCTTTAGTAGCAAGTTTGTGAGCGGCTTCTCGGTGTGTCAACAGGCATCTGCACCCGCTTCCCTTGTGTTCTTCCCCTTCTTAAAAATCTCCTTTTTTTGGTGAGAGGTGTTCCCAGCATGGCCTTGAGTTGTGTTGCAGCTGGGAAAGTTTGGGGGGGGGGGCCTGGAGATAAGTTGCTGTAGGAGCAACTGGAGCTGCTGTTCGGCCTCCACCCTGAATCCCCAGGGGTCCTTTTCTGTAGTGCATATGAGCTGTTTCTCCCGCTGCAGGGTGGAGGAATATGAAAAGGGTGCTCTCTGCCAGCACCGAAGTCGGTGTTGACTTCCGGGGAGACTTGCTTGTGCGAGGGATTCACGATTCTTCCAGTGCATGTGACTTTTTTCTGTCTGGAGCTGGAGCATCTGAAATAGTGTTTCCAGTATGTGAAGTCACGTTGTCAAGAGGAAGAGCAGCACAAACTGTTCTCTCCCTGCTGTTGGTGATTCATGGAGAAAGGGAGGGACGTTGCAAACTCTTCCACAAATGTAGTCAGAAGTACCGTTTGGGCTCGCTGGGAGACTTTTGCACCGGTAGTCCTGGTAGATAAGAAAGTGTGGCTGTTGGCACCGGAAGTGAAATTCTCATACTTAAGTTATCTCCATTTATTAGTGGGATTTCCTGTCTCACCTGAGGGTTTTCTGGTAAGGTTAAACCTCTGGGAGGGGAGGAAGTTTATTGCCAGGGTGTAAACATAAAGCTTCAGAGCTGAAGGAGAAGGCTGTGGCACAGCTGCCTGGTCTGAAAAGAGGGAATAAGGTGATATCTGAGCTGCCTTAAGTCACTCTTCTGTTGCTTAGTTTGCTTTGCTGTCCTTTTCCAGTGCCTGCTTTGCTGAACTTTTTTGCTTCCCAGTGCCTATGTGGGGCTAATACCTCTGTAGCCAGGCAGAGGAATGCTGCTGCTGCTTCTGGTGGGGCCAGTTAAACTGCGTTGCTGCTGAAGTGATTAGATCACACTGTACGCAGCAGGTCAGCCAAGGCTTGAGGCTTGGATTTTTGCACCCTTTAAAAGTATTTTTGTCCTTCAAGCCTGTATTCATGGGAGCTGGCTTGCTGCTGCTGCGTGCACCAGGCTTTGCTTCAGTAACAAGGCATCCCCTTATCTCGGGCCAGCCTTGCCAGTCCCATTGGCCTTTTTATAGTAGGATAGCTGGTGACTGGCATTCCTCAACTCTTGTGATGAACTTGCTGTGTGTCTATAGCATGCTGGCATGGTCAGCCTGAAATCAGACTGGGAGCATAAATAAAATGGACCCAAAATTAAGCCTTTTGGAGAAATGGAGGTTAAAGAAGATCCTCTGTGGGCGGCAAAGGAATTTGCAGACAAGAACTGTTTGGGGGATGTAAGTGTCCCCTTAGCCTGCCGAGAGCGAGTTTCCTCTTGTTTGACCCCAGGAATTGGAATGGCTGGTGTACTGCAGAACTGAGCAGACTTAGAGCATGTGTGCTCTGCACCCAAAGCTGGTATAAGCCGGTGTGGCTACTGAAAGAAGCAGCCCTAGCTGCTTGTTCCTGTTCCTGCAGTTGCCCTGCCAGCTCGAAGCATTTGTTCTGTGATCTAGGGCAAGGATCTGACCCAGGTTGAAGCTACTCTCTTCTTGGCCGGGTTAGTTTTTAACCTGATAGCTTTCATGATTGCCTCTGCGTGGCTGCGCCAATGAAGAGAACTTAAGTGCCAGCTTAGGTCAGCTTTAGGCATGGCAAACAATCTTAAATTAATTGGGTACTTCTGTCTTAGTTGAGTTCATTTTGCTTCTAACACTTAACAAAACTGTCAGTTGAGCTTGTTTGCTGCTTGACTATGAGCCCTGGCCAACAGTATCGCTTTGGGAATTTATATGCCAGTTCATCCTGAGCTTGTCCGTGTTGTGAAGTTGGCATGGCAGCCCTGAAACTTAGTATGGTTATAGTAAGGCAAAGGGATCTTAAAAGGACTTTCTCATAGTTGGCTGATCTGAGCAAGAGAGGTAAAACTGGGCAGCTGCAGAGGAGGAATGTGGAGAGCATTGCCAGCTTTCTAGCCAAGACTAATTTTGCATCTTGCTGTGAAGGATGTGTGGGGCAAAAACATGTTTTGGAAATGGCCTGTGAGAACTGGAGCTTGAGTGTTCAGCTGTACTACTTTAGGGGGAGATGGGGTTGCCAGGTATGTTTATCCTTCAGATACTCAGTGGGGAGTGGTTCTGTGCTGGTGCTCGGGCCCAGTGCTGCAAGGGACTGTTTGTACTAAATTATCAGGTAGAGGTGACTGCTGTGTGCAGTTTGTGTTTGGTAAAATGTTACAAGTCTCATCAGTGGCCCTGCTCTCAGATCCTAGGATTGAGCTCCCCTGCTTAGAGACCTCTGTAGGCAGGTGAGGCCACGTTTTTTGTGTGGAGATTGTTACTGGGAATGGATGAGTCCTTTGAAGGCAGGTTTTCCAGCATCTAGGGAAGATTTATTATAGGTGAGAGACCTGAAGGGGATAAAACCAGACGACTTTGGCCTTTTCAGTAAAGCTTAATGTGGCTCTTTTGAAAGGTTTTGATGCCTTGCACATGAAACATTTTGATGCAACCTCATGGTTCAACCTGTTAATGCTTCTTAGTGGAGAAGACGGACCTTAGCTGCAGTCATGTGATGTGATGTTGTAGTGGTAACATACTGCATAGCCTGTACTGAACTGTGGTTAGGACTGCACCCTTTATGGAGTCTGACCCTGGGCCCTCACAAAGTATTTGGCTTTAAAATTTTTCATGTCCCTTAAGTAAAGGGACAAGGAGACCTTCATACATGCCTGCTGCTTTGAAGTGTTAGTCACTCAGCCTGATGTCAACTTGATAGGTTATGCAGCTTGACTTAAGATGACTCAGCTGAGTTTATGATGACAGCTTCTGAGTGTCTCTTGGTAGGTGAAGGAGCTGGTTCTTGATAACTGCCGTTCGGATGATGGGAAGATTGTTGGGCTCTCCTCGGATTTTGAGAACCTGGAGTTCCTCAGCATGATCAACATCAACTTGCTGTCTGTCTCCAATCTCCCCAAGCTTAACAAACTCCGTAAGGTGAGTTAGACCTGTGGTCTCATCTCCAGCTGTCCATGCCCTCAGACTTCTGCTGCCCTGTCCTTGGTGAGAGTTGGTTTCGTTCCTGGAGTAGCCAAAATAGGGTGACTTGGTTGTGCTCTTTCTGCAAGCTGACCTCTAACCTGAGCAAGTGAGAGAGATTGTTTTCTAGTATAACACAAATGTTTTTGAGCTCATTTCTTTGTAGTGTGCTTCTACTCTTCCTTTTGCAGTTGTGCTACTGTCAGAAGTTTCAGTAACAAAATAAGTATTTTGCCTTGTTAAGCTATGTAGTTACAGCTAAAAGGATAAGTACTTGCTGTGTCCTACAGTACAAAAGTGGCTGGGGCTCTGTTACCTTGGCAAAAGGGTCTTAAGTGAAAACTTGAGTTGCTACTCTAGGGCGTGGTCTAATTGACAGGGTCTGGGACTTGGATGTCTGTTATAGTCCAGTCCTCAGGGAATTTTATTGCCTATGTCATAAGCTGGCCACTTTGTGACCTTATTTCTTCCCGGCAGCTGGAGCTGAGTGATAACAGGATTTCTGGTGGCCTTGAAGTTCTAGCAGAGAGAACTCCTAACCTGACACACTTGAATCTAAGTGGCAACAAGATCAAAGACATCAATACCCTGGAGCCCTTGGTGAGTGAAAGGCTGTGCTGACTTCTAAGGGATGACATTTTTCCCTTTGGGGAGCATGTGTGTGCAGCAGAAGTCCAACATCTTGGTAACTGTTCCAACAGCACTTCGTGGTTCTGCTGGGAACAGATGAGTGGGTCCAATTTGAGGCTGGGCTAATAGTTAATGGCTCTTCTATCTGGAAAACCAGCAGCCAGTTGCTAAAAGAAGCATGACATTGGGCTGGATGAGTAAAACTGTGGATGCAGTGATCAGTGTCCATCTGAGAAAGGACCATTAATGGGTTGGATGCAGTTTGAGGTAGGTGGCACCTGGGGTGTCATGGAGATGAGTTGCTTGGATGCCAGTGAGGGTGTCCATCACGCTAGTCCAAAGGCCCTGCCTGCTGGGCTCTGACCCTCTCACCCTGGGTGATCACCCTTGTGATCCTGCCTCTGTAGCTGAAAAGTCTGATCTAGGGCATTTGCCTCATTAGTTATTGCCTTTGGGGCAGTCCTTCCATCCTCTTTGGAAAGAAAGCTTGAAACCTTGTTTTACTCTTCCTTTGTTTAACCCAGTACATGGTGTGGTAGCCAGACCGGGAGAGCTGCTGTGGCTGTGCTGAGAAGCACGTGATGTGCAATCTGTGTGCAATGTGGTCTGGTCTGCCTGTGTTCTCTCCCAGGTATTTTGTCTGACTTCTTAGGTAGGATGAATCTGGCTCAGGGATTCCCTTCTGCTGGGGGTGCTGTGCAGCTTGTACTTGTTGCCCACCCCCTCCAAAACGGAACAAGATTTGCAAATGGTTTCAGAGGGAGTTGGCCTCAAGGAAGGGAAACTGCAGGGCGGAGGAGCTGAAAAGGAATTTTTGCCAGGGACCTTTAGCATAAGTAATAGTGCGCCTCTGAGGAGCACATGGTGCAAATAATGCATGTGAAGACACTTCTGTAGTAGATCTGGGTAGTAAACCAGTTGTTCAGAGGGTCTTCTAATGGCCGTTGGATCTTCAAATAGTGTCACCTTGTAAGTGGTTTAATAAATGGATTCTTGCAGAAAAAGTTGCCAAACCTGCATAGTCTGGACCTCTTCAACTGTGAGGTGACAATGCTGATCAACTACCGAGAGAGTGTATTCACCCTCCTGCCTCAGCTCACCTACCTAGATGGGTTTGATGCTGATGACCAGGAAGCCCCTGACTCGGACCCTGAAGCAGATGGGGATGGACTAGAAGATGAATATGAGAATGGGGAAGGTAAGGTTTTTGCTCTTGGTTTTGTTTTTGGGAAACCACCCCTTGCACCCTTCTGCAGGATTTTGCTGCTAAATAAGTGCTGATCATAACTTGCCACTGAGGTAGGGGGTTGTCTGGATAAACCCCATTTCTTTCTCAGGCAGGCTGCATGAGAAATAAAGCTTGCTCTGAGCTGACTGGGCTTGTTGCTGGCATTCTTTGCGCATGCTTGTCCTGCCAGATTTCATGCCTATTGCTTGTGTGGCACTGGGGGTAGGAGGTGTGAGCATACTGTCTGAGAATAGCAAGCCTTTGGGAACTGTACCATGCATCTCCCCCTTTTGGTAGAAGGTGAGGAAGAAGATGATGAGGAGGAGGAAGATGATTTGGATGAAGAAGTCATTGATGATGAAGAGGATGAAGATGATGACCTGGAAGGTGAAGAGGAGGAGGATGGAGTAGATGATGAGGTGAGACTTTTCTGACATAAGCATAGTGCATTTGTCCCCTAGTCTTGCTGTGACCCCTCTGACCAGATGTCACAGATGCCTGTCTGGGCAGATCTGAGGGCTGCTGCAGTCGGCTCTGGCTTTTCTTGTACAGGTTCCTCTTGACTCGCTGTCCATGGATTTGCAAATTCAGTGTTTGTTCATTGCTTGGCCTGGTACTTCCTGTGGCCTCAAATGATAAAGCCCATAAAACTCCCTTTGTAGGGATGGGAGAAGCTTTGTGGGAAAACAATAGTGCCTTTTTTTCCTGCTCCCTTGCCTTGTAGGGAAGGGTGGGAGGGAGGTGAAAGAAAAGGATGCTGCAGAATTACACCTCACTCATGGGGTTGTGGTCCTTGTAACAAAAGTGTACTGTTTTGACTTAAGGAGGAAGACGAGGAAGAAGACGGTGAGGAGGATGAAGAAGATGAAGTTGATGATGGTAAGTTGAATTATAAGTAGCTGCAGAGCTGCATTAACAGTCTTGCACACTTGCTGTGATCTTAGGATTTCTCCAGCTTTGGTGCTGTACTCTTGCGCTTTTCCCTGATGAAAAGTGCAATGTTCTTACCTGTGGGCATTGCTGAAACTGCTTATGCCTAACGGACTGTGTTAAGGGCGGTTAAAACCAAGCGATCATACGGTGGTGATGGGGGAAACAACTTTTAGTGTCTGTTAATGCTAACCAAGCTGAGCAAATCTGACAAATATTAAATAGGTAAATTGCCTGGCAGACCAGTTTGAAGTAGCTTGAGCTGATATTTCTTGCAGGAGCTAGACTTCTGTCACAGAAACTCTTGTTAGCAGTCTTTCTGAGGAAATGCTCTTAGAGCGATAGCTTCCTCTGGAGTTTCAGCTGTAGGGAGGGGAGGCCTGATGTTCTTGACTTGAGTCTGGGTGCTCCGGTTAGAGCAGACTATAGGCATGTGAATGTTAACAGAATACAGTGGCTGGCATGACTTTAAATGGTCTTGTATGAGCTTGGTCAAAACGGAGTGAATTGTACAGATGCTGCGGTCTTGGGGGTGCTCAGTAAAAACATGTTTTCAAGTGCCTGCTGACGTGTGGGATGCATGGAGGGCATAGAAAATGGTTAGTGTCTTCTGCTAGTCCGGGCTTTTCTGGGGTGCCATGAGAAACAGCCTGGTGGATCTCCATTCCACAGTGGTGTGAGTCTAGTCTGTGCTTGTCCCCGAGCAAGCTGTGGCTGCCCCAGCTTGAAGCCACAGTTCAAATGCTGTTTGTTCTGCAAGACTGAACAGAGCTTCACGCTTCACCTCTTTTTGCAGACCTTCCGCGAGGAGAAAAGAGAAAACGAAATCTAGAGGATGAAGGAGAGGAAGATCCAGAAGACGAAGAGGATGATGAGGATGACTGATCCCAGCGAGCCAATCAGTTTTACAGACTATGACTGTGCTTGTCTGAACCTCCCCGTTGTGTCTATGTGAGACTGTAAATCCCCGTCTCCCAGTCCTCCCCCCTTTGTATGGCTGCAGCGTCCACAATATATTTTTTTAAGATGTAGAATACTGTAGGCATTCAGGGGAATCTTCCATACAAGGCTCACTTTCTCACAAGTATCTCATGACCAAAGGCTTTCTCCGTTCTGTGGTTTGTGCAGCAGTTTGCAAAAAAAAAAAACAAAACAAAAAACAAAAAAAATTCTCCTAGGGTATCTTTCGTGTCTGAAATCAGCCTTGCCACACACTGGACCCAGAGCTCCAGCTCGCCACCCTGCTTGACAACTAAGAAGGCGTGTTTGCTATCTGCATGCCCTCAGACCAGCTTTCTGAAGACGCTTGAGCCATCTTGAGCAGTGGGTGCAAATCTGGTTCATCTAAATGGACTCAAAGTAGATGATCACTGAGGTCTCTCTGATCAGAAATAATGGTGATGTGATCTCTGGAGATGCTTGAAGATACTTTAGTGCTGGGGATGTGGGGTGCCTGGGTCTATGGGGGGTGGGTGGCTGCTTGCAAGACCTGGTACCTCTGATGATGCACCTTGCAGTAACCCTGTACTTGCATTCCTATTTTTTATAAACTGGAATATTTTTTCCTGTTGGCCACTGAATAACTTTCTCTTGGATGTCCAAGTAAGTCTGCTTTGTGGCTGTGAGTGTCTTGCTGTGATGAGGTTTCTCCTCACCCCATAGCAGCCTGTCTTGAGGAAGAGATAGGAAATAGCAGGTTAAGGGATACTGCACTTCTGTCAAACTCCATTTCACACTGTA